GACATACACTACACTAGTACATACATACACTACATACTACTGGACTAACCATCCTACACCTGGATGCTAGCTACAACAAGATCTGTTCATCTTCGGATGTTCTCGGTTGTACTGTTCGGCGATTTACCACACCGTGTTTATCCTAGACAAATGGATATGATTTCAAGGATTATAAAATTTTCCTTATTACCTTTATTTTGTGACACGTTCAGATAAACGATGAGGTAGAATATATTTTGATACGATTTCAATGATTATATAATTTTCCTTATTACCTTTATTTTGTGACACATTCACATGAACGATGAGGTAGACTATATTTTGATAATAATAGTTGTACATGGGAAAAACCTTCATTTTTACAGAGAATCAAACCTTCAAAACAGTCGGGTCTTGGTAGAAGACTACTTTTTATCCTAATAGGAAATATGAGATTTTCTAGGGTTTTCATACTTATACAAACTTTTTCATTGAACATTTACAAGCCTTTTCTTCAAAATTTTACAAATCAATGACACTAAAATACTTATGAACTCACCAGCTTTATGTTGATCTACGCTTTCAAAATAACTCGTATTCTCAGATCACCAGTAGGTAGGTACGATGACCAGGTTTTGAGAAGACGGAGCAGTCAAGACTCGTCTTTTATTTTGATTATTTATTATGGTGTTTTATTCTATAAAAGAACACACATGTATTAAAATTTTACTATTAATGCAATGGATGATGTTGTTGCTTGTTTACTACTTTGCACTATTGTGATACTTTACATGATGTCTTCCACCCCATAACATTTCTACCGTTCTTGGTTTTAGGGTGTGACACATTTGGTTGATGTTTTATTTATTATAAAAACGAAATCCCAAACATCATACTTTCACCAAAGGCAGCCTAAACAACAAAAGCCCAACTGGTACGCCCGACGTACAGTTTGAGTGGCTTAATCAACAATTTCCTGAGTTTAACCATGAGTACAAGGTTCATTTTTGGGAGGGGAGTAATGATATGAACCAAAGAATGGGCCGGGTTGGTCAGGTGTATTTTAGGCGTCATTAAGGAGGCAGTTAGGATAAGCCATAAATTTAATTTCATATTATCTACATATATTTTATTTTGGTAGTTTGATTTACTTTCCATGTTTAAGACTTCCTGTTGATTTAGGGTCTCTATAGCAGGACACCATAAATATAGTGCTCCGTTCCTTGTTTAGTTTTTATGCAATTAATATAGTTCAAGTATTTAACTTTGGAGAATTCATGTTTCTCGAATACAAGCATATTTCAGATGCTTGCTACGGTTTGGGTTGCTGGTCTTATCAGATCTCATATACTTCTCGAGATAGGTGACATGAAATCTAGATTAGACATAAGACGACTGGACATTAAGCTTATTTGAGTTTGATGGTGCATGGTATTTTTCTATCGACAAAATATCTTTAGGCTAGCGAATCTCCATGGATTAACTACCAGCCTTGGGGCCTATATGTTTAGGGTCCTACATATGGCTCCAATGATGATACATTGGACCTTCGAAGGGATACGGTTCGCTTATTGATATCACCAATGTGAGAGTCTTCATCACAATAATGATGACTTAGACTTCAACTAAAGAGAAAGGCAAGTGCATTATAGGAGGACGTCCGAAGAGTGCACTCTGATGCGTAGGTTAGCGAGGCTTATCAAAGTGAATAAAATATGGAGTGTGAGAGTGAATGATTGCATACCTTATGCATGACACCAAGGTAGGTATTTATAGTATGGATATGATGATGGTGGTCATATCCATGATCTGTTGTACATGGTAAGGCTGCCTTTAGGCCAAACATTTGTAGGGGGGTGAGACACGATTGTTACTTCAAGGCTTTCTGGATGTATGTAGGATTTAGCGGACACATTAACTGGCTTGGTCTTTGTCTTCTAATGGCATTGTCTCATGGCCGGGGCTAGGCTGATGCCTAAATATGTCCTAGGTTTCGTCATGCTCCTGACCACGTGCGGAACACGAGCAGTAAACTTGGACCAAAACAAAAACTTAAAAACAGAAGCGTATAAACCTATTTTAATTTGATTCAAATATATGACATCAAAATTTTAACAAAATAATTAAGATGAAATATTTTTGCATCGCTTATCAAAGTGTAACTCGTCGACCTTTTTGTGTTTTTGAAGTCTTGGACAATTTCCTCTAAACTAATCTTTTCAGAAAATCCCTTTCAAAGTACAAAACTAATGAGTCATTCACAAACTCAGTAATAGGAACACTAGACGTAGAGATGTAAGTAAGTCAAAGTACTCAAGGTCGTTAATATGCTGACTTGAGATCGACTTAATAAGCCTAATCCGAACTCCAGCCTAAAATTTAATTAATGACATGAATTAGATTTAGATTGATGTTTTTATAAATAAAATAAAATACTATATATCATTATTGAATTTTAATCAAACACTTTTTTTATTGAATTTGGATAGATATACCAATCATGCTCATCTTTAAAATCAATTGAATTTCGACCACTATTATTATGTGTGTATAATAAACAAAAGAAATATTCAAGATGAAAAGTAAATATTTTGTTGATAGTATTAGTTTTCTTTTCTTGTGGGATATATAAGGTCAACAACAATTTTGTACATGAAATCTATTTGTGATTAACAAAGTATTATTTTTTATATTATTATATTGACATGTTTTGATATTTATAGAAATTTAATATATTAACAATACTAATGATATTTACATTGCATGGAAAATAACAAACCAGGAAATGAGATAAGAAAAGAATGAAAGTATGGTAAAAAGTAGAAGGTGGAAAGCAATGAGATCCATTTTGCTTAAATGAAATAAATTAATAATTTCCTAACTTCAAAAAATGATAGTGCTTACTGTTGCAAATTGAAGTTTCCAAATAATATATTGATACTCGATAATCTGGCACTAGTTAGAAAGTGAGACCATTGGCTTCCATTGAGTTCCGCGAGTGCTCCCGACATTTGTGTTCAAAGTCCATATCTAAAGGGATGTATCCTTGTTAAGCCAAATTTTATAACAACTTTAGTCAGTGAAATGCTCTCCTATTTGCCCTATTAATCTACTTTCTCGTCCCACAATTTTGAAAGATCATTTACATGAAAATGTTGGTTTAATTTAGTGCTTTGTTAATTGATATGTCTTGACTTATTTCAAAAGACTTGTAAATAAATAAGTAACTTATTCATACATTTTTGCTTTATCGGTAACAACATAAAAATATATAAGTAAGATCTCAAATTATATTATACGCAAATATTATAATTTATCATATTTTAAATGGAATGTCAAGGTGGTGTTCTTATTTTTTTAAATATAAATAAGTAAATAACTTTAAAGTAAAATAATAGTATTATGTAACATTATAATTTGAAAAATTAAATATCCTGACAGTAGTCAACTATGGGAGTATGTGGTAGAGAGGTAAAAACCAAATTTGGAGGAGGAAGAATCAAATGTGGAATGTTCTTCTGACTCTGACAACTTGGTCAAACCTACTTCTATCGTGCCTGCAGATCTTGTTTGACTACTTTTCCCAATAATTACCAAGAAATAAAACACTTTAAAAATAAATCAATATATGTAATAATATTTATTTTATTTTATTAATTTTTGTAACTGATACAAATAAATTAACTACGTTTCACTTTATTAAACATGACAATTGACACATATAAAATATTGGGGTTGTATATATTATATTTTTGGTCATAAGATAAAAATAAATACATATTCTATGTAAGCATTATATTCACATAAATTAAGAAAAATAAAACGTTTATACATTAAAAAAAGATATTTAGCTCTAAAGTTTATTATGTTTTTTGAATATCGAAGGTATAATTTATGGAAATGAGGAAATATTATATTTTCAGTGTTTAACCCGATGACTATACCCTGTCTTCGATGATAACAAGGTACCAACTTACCATAGTGCCGTGTTAAAAGACGAAATTGGCCTTCCCTTCTCAATGTGCCTTCTTTTTTTATCACTTTAAAGTCATCTTTCCTTTCCTAAAGTATAATTCTCTCATAATTCACTTACACTAGAAAATAAAACGACCCTAAAGAAGTAAATTGTCACAATCATTGTATAAATCCAATCCTATATTTGCTTTATACAATACAAAAGTATCAGATTTCTTTCCATTTTTATAATGATATTACCCTAGTTTAGATTTGAGCTTAATGATTGTTTATTTAAAAATTTTTCATATATTTTCAATTTTCTGTAACAAAGTTTCTTTTTAGACAACTTTGTTTAAAAAATCTTTAGTATAATATATAGTAAAAACGGCAAACCATTATTACATATAAATAAACAACAACCGATAAAATATTATAAATTTGAGTATTTTTATTTCTATAATAATATATATATAATTAACCACTCTATTTATTTAAAAAAAAAAAAAACTTTTTTATTTACAAAGGAAATAAATATTATTACTTAAACAAGTATTCAATCTTTTAGATTGCTTCAATTATTGTTTTGTAGTTGATAAATTAAATAGAAGAATTGATGAAGGGAAGAACATGGATAGAGTTTGGGGGTAAAGTTGACATTTCAAATAATACATCGAAAGGGAGACCATTTATATATGAACAAGTGTCTACAGTACATAAAAATATTGAGATCATCACCATCACACCCTTTGCTATTATCTATTCATCATCTTCATCATATCAACAACATCATTTATCATTCATCTTTCCTTCTTTTCTTTTGCTTCTCGTTATCTTTTTTTTCATCTTCTACTCGCTCAGATCGGATCATTTATCTTCCTTTCCACGCCACTCAAACACAAAATCGAACACCCACCATTTCGAAAAATTGAAGTAAAACTATTCAAAAATTTCAAACCCAGATTGAAAATCCCGTTCTATCTTACAACGAATTACAGAAATCGAAAAAGGGGTTTCTGTATCTTGGGGAAATTAATGATATTTATGAGGTGGGGTTTTGTTGTTAAATGGGAAATGTAACCTCAAACATAGCTGCAAAATTTGCATTTTTCCCACCAGAACCACCATCGTATGATGTTTTTAGAGACGAAGAAGATACACCAAATGGCGATAAAAGATACTGTATTACAGGTATAACAGCTGATAAAAACGTCGACGTTCATTTGCTTGATACAAAGGTCGGAAACAAAATCGTTGCTACCTTCTGGAAACACCCTTTTGGTAAATTCACCCTTCTCTACTCTCATGGCAACGCTGCTGATTTAGGGCAGATGCAAGAACTATTTATCGAGCTCAGAGCTCACCTCAGACTCAATATCATGAGGTATCTTTATCTTTATCTTTATCTTTTCCCAATTCCTGTTTCATTACATCTTTTCGTTGCTTTTATTTTTGGGTTTTTAAGTGATTCTATTGGAATGGGTGTTCATGATATCTATGCTTCTTTTCATATTTGGTTGATCTCTGTTCTCATGTGTTTCAATCTAAGAATCTTTGTGTATTTACACTTGTGGATCGAATAAGAGAGTTTAATTTGATTGAATATAAGTGTTTCTGTTTAATCTTAGGTGTGTTTCGATGTTGGTTTTGCAGTATTTGGGTGTTTGTTTGATCAAAAGTAAAAGAATTTGGTTCCTGGTGTTTCGACTTTTGAGCTCATTGATAGTGCAATAATGTGTTCTGATTTGAACTGTTTTCATGGATATGATCACTCTAAGCAAACCTAACAAACTCTTTAAAGCTAAACGAACTTGATAGAAGTAAAAGTAAAAGTAAAACATGGTGTCAATTTCGTAAGAAGATCCGGATTTAGTTTGATTTGAATAGTTATACGAATTGTTTCTCTCTTTTTAGTAGCGGGTCAACTGGAAGACAAAGCTAACATGATTATGGGTGCTAAAAAAGGAATGGAAGAAGACGAGTGGGACCAATAACATGTGTTTTTCTTATCATCTTAATTTTCATTGTTGGCGGGTGGTGTTACTTTATAGTTTTCTTTTTTGCACTTTTGCACATGTAATTGTAGTTTCCATTAAGCTAGAAGTCGCGCATAGTTCCCATTTGATCATCTCTTGTCTTCATTAGTTTAGTTTCTTTTCTGCAAAAAAGTTATTCTTGCATAGAGCCCAATCCACCCTTGAGTATTCTTTTATGAATTCCACTTGGTTTAGTTTCTTATGATGATAAAAAAAAATGTATATTACAATTATTTCTAGATTTATTTCGTGTTGTTGGCTTATATGGTATGTATTTGTACATTGTAGTTATGACTACTCGGGATATGGAGCATCAACGGGGAAGGTAAGCAATAAACCAAAGATATAATTGCATCTCACACTTTCTTTTTATATATAAAAACTACTTGAAAAGAGGCACAAAATGACTTTCTAAAATATAAATATTGTTTGTTTCTTTCATTTTATGGATATATAGCCGTCTGAACTCAACACATACTACGACATAGAGGCAGTGTACAATTGTTTGAAGGACAAATATGGAATTAAACAAGAAGACATCATCTTATACGGCCAATCCGTTGGCAGTGGGCCCACGTTACACTTGGCAGCTCGGTTACAAAGGTTGAGAGGCGTTGTTCTACATAGCGCCATTCTTTCAGGAATACGAGTTTTATATAATGTCAAGATGACATTTTGGTTCGATATATTCAAGGTAAATCACAGTCTTCTCACATATCATTTCAGAACAGAACAGGTTGTACTGCATTTGGTTTAGACTGGACTCAGACAAATGTCGATAGGATAAAATTTTTCAACTTTTGTCCCGGCCAATTTGTTTTACATGACAGAACATGTTGTACTGCATTCATTCCGTCTGGGAATGAGACTACTAATCGATGGGACAAGAATTTCAACTTTTTGTCCCATCATAAGAAGGTAGAACAAGATGCGACACACAAACACGCTCTGGACTTCTCATTTGTGAAAAAGACATAAACGCCCTCATACTCATAACTGAAAATAGCCCTAAAAAGCTTGTCGAGTCACTCACTCTGTTCATTTTCTTTCACGCAGAACATCGACAAAATACAGAAAGTTAGCTGTCCGGTTTTAGTTATACACGTAAGTATTCTTTTCCCTTCCACCATTTTCGTTTCTTGATTTTATTTCTGATACATATATATATATATTTTTTTTAAATGACAGGGAACAAACGATGACATTGTTGACTTTTCACATGGGAAACGATTATGGGAACTTGCAAAAGAAAAGTATGACCCATTATGGGTTCAAGGTGGAGGCCATTGCAACATTGAAACATACCCAGAGTACATAAGGCATTTGCGCAAGTTTATAAGTGCAATGGAGAAGGTGTCGGTTTCAAAGCCAAGTAAGCAAAGAAGTTCTTCGGGACCAAGTATGACAGGTGTCAAACACAACAAATGTTTGAGATTTGGTAAAAAGTAGATGTAATTTTGTGTTGATGTTTGAGAAATTATGCATAAATCTTGGCTGTTTGATTCGTTTTTGGTTGAATTCGAGTGAGTTTTGTTGTTGTTTCTACTCGGCGTATTCGATTGGGGTTCTTGTGTAATTAGGATCATTGATTTTTTAAGTAGATGTTAGAAATTTTATGTAATGAAAAAACCCCACGAATTGTTGTGTTGTGAATTTGGTTTTATTTGTTGTTCACTACTTGTGGGCAAAGATTTTATTGGTTTTTTAATGATGCATATTTTAACAAAAGATAATCTTTTAGTAACATACCAATTTAAGGAATTATGGGTTGTCAAAATCAAGGTTTATAAGAAAGTTTGCATGTTAAATTTGCCATAAATGATGTATGTGACATATATAGGAATTTCAATCAAAAGTAACTCCAATTTCCCTTTTTTCGGCCTCTTTCCCAAAAAAGAGCAATGTATTTGCTTTTATGTTGTCCGTGATGTTTGTTATGGAGATGTTATTAAAATTCTGATCATTCCTTTACCTCCAGATGAACCGAATTGTGGACAAATCAATTTCCTGTTTTAGGTTGATCCGAAAACCCGATATTGAGCTGATGACTATTCCTCCACCTTGATTGCATTTGAAAAGTTTAATTCACACTAGTTGCTAATAATTTTTCATATTTCTTTGATTGCAAACCCATTATTACATTAGGAGGTAAGATTGTGTGAACATGGGTTCGAAAACACTGATTTTCGAAATAAGTTGTTTCATTTAACCTTACAATGCCGTTAAATATTTTTTTTTGTTGACCTTACAATAGGTTTTTCAAAGTCTAGATAGAACAATATTTAAAGATAAATATTTTATTTATTTTTGGTCAAACAAAATCAATACATAAAAAACATTAGACTTTCTTATTAAAAGAAACAAATGGTTCGAGATGCTTCTTCCCTTCTTCAAAGCATGTCAAGACCTGGTCTAGGTGCTCAATAAGAACATTATCCTAACAATTTTTTTTCATAATAGATTGTGATATCCAAATTACTAACTTGAGAAAGTGTTGCATTCATTGTTGCTTCCATCTTTTTTCATGTTTACAAGATTGAACCAAAGCTTTGCTATGATGATATCCATTATCAACGTTCCGTGGACCTTTAGTTTCTCATTATTGTTAAATATGACTCGAGCATTTGGAGGATTCTCATGGAGCATGTGGATCATGCTCATGGAGCATTTGGAACACTTGGAACTAAATGAAGCACTTGGGGTTCATGGAGCATGTGAGAAAGGAATGTATCAATAAGAACATTATCATAACAATTTTTTTTTTTTTTTTCATAATAGATTGTGATATCCAAATTAGTAACTTGAGAAAGTGTTGCATTCATTGTTGCTTCCATCTTTTTTCATGTTTACAAGATTGAACCAAAGCTTTGCTATGACGATATCCATTATCAACGTTCCGTGGACCTTTAATTTCTCATTATTGTTAAATATGACTCGAGCATTTGGAGGATTCTCATGGAGCATGTGGATCATGCTCATGGAGCATTTGGAACACTTGGAACTAAATGAAGCACTTGGGGTTCATGGAGCATGTGAGAAAGGAATGTATCATTTGAGAAAGGAATGGATCGTCTGACAAAGGAACGGAGAAAGTGCCAAAGGGACGGATCATACAGAAGGGGGTTTGGAGCACCTGGAAGAGGTTTGGAGCACTTGGGAGTGATATGGAGCAACAAGGAGACCTTGTTGCACCATCTGTTGAAGGGATGGGCCAAGAAGGATGTTGTTGAGCCAAAAGAACCTTTCTTGCGCCAAGGTACTCCATCTTGCGCCATGAGGGTATCCCTTTTGCGACATGGGATACTCCTGTTGCGCCACGGAGTATGTTGTTGCTCCAAGTATGGCCTTGTTGCACCATGCATGTTATTGTTGTGCCAAGATGGTGTTGTTGCTTCAACCTAGAAGTTCTTGTGCCACACTTGATGCCACTTGCGCCATCCATGTTCCTCTAGCGCCATCATGGCGCAAGATGGACCATTTTGGTCCCTGATGAGCCAAGTATGCTATGAAGGCCTCTTTGATGCTTAAAATCGTTCAAGGATACTCAAAAGTTGATATTGCTAAAGGATTACACCATGTTGTTCCACCATGATGGATGTTGGTCCATTAGTGTTCATGATGCGCCACTAGTACATCATGATGCTCCACTATGGCACAAGGTGGTCCATCATGTGTGTTTCAGATGCTCATGGGTTGTATTACATGGATGAATGTTTCAGAAGATGCTACATGGTAGATTGTGATTGGTTGACACCTTTCATGGGCCTATGGGCCAATAGGCTTTGCTCATTAGAGTGTTAGGTATGATCCCTCATGCTAGATCATTTTGTATCTTGAATTCTAGAGTGATAGGAGAATCTTTGAGTAATTGTATTTGTAACCTTTATTTGAGAGCTTTGAAATAAACGAATACTTCTTTCCTGCCCGTGGACGTAGGTCAGCTTAACCGAACCACGTAAATACTATGTCTTGTGTGCTTATAATTTTGCTTGTTATCTGCATTATTTCCTAACAAAGGTCATAAGAACTTAGCAAGTGGCATCAGATTTGTTTTGAGTCTTGACAAGTATCACATGTTTTCCTTAACAAAGTGGTATCAGAGATGCGATTGGTGTTTTGTTGATTGAAGATGACATCTTACAAGTTCGATTTGGAGAAGTTCAATGGATTGAATTATTTCACTTTGTAGAACGCAGAGATGAAGACTCTTCTGGTTCAACAAGGATGTGTAGGCACTGGAAGGAGAAGAGAAGCTGCCAAAGGACATGGCGGCTAAAAGGAAGGTGGATATTCTTGAAAAGATGCATAGCGCTATTATTTTAAGTTTGACAAACGAATGACTGAAAGAGGTCATGGACCAAATGAGTGCTAACGGGCTTTGGGAGAAATTATGTGACAAGTATCAGAACAATTCTATAATAAATTGGCTATACTAAAAACAATGTTTGTATACTCTTAGGATGTTGGAAAGCACCCAAGTGAAGGATCATCTGGACAACTTCAATAGGATCATGTTGGACATAAAGTGTGAATGTAAAGATTAAAGATGGAGATCAAGCACTTATCCTTTTATGTTCACTACCGAATTCTTATGAGAATTTTGTTGATACCATGTTGTATGGTAGGAAAACGATCACTATGAATGATGTGAACTATTCTTTGATGTCAAAGGAACTAAAAAGAAACATTTAAGTTAGAGAATAAATTTCTAGTTCTGGTTTGTTCGCAGGCAGAGGAAGAACATCAGATAGAGGTGGAGGTAATAAAGGGAAGTCAAGTTTTGAATCTAAAGCCAACATTAAATGTTACAACTGCAAGGAAAAGGGGCACCTCAGGAGAGATTGTTCATTGCTGAAGAAAGGGAATAATGGTGTTGGACCAAGCAACAACAATGTTGTTATGGTTCAAGGAAATTCTGATGAAGGGGATGATGGTGAAGTTTTGAAAGTTTGTACATCTATTTCTATTTATGCTTGGTTCTTGGACTATGGAGCATCCTATAATATGACATGCAATCGTGACTGGTTCGACTCCTTCAAAGAGTGGAATGAAACAGTCCAGATGGGTGATTAATGGGTGAGCAGTATCAAGGGTAGTTGCAAGGTGCAAATCAAAACGCATAATGGTATGGTCAGGAAACTGGATTGATAGTTCATCCCAAAACTTCGAAAGAATTTGATTTCTTTTAGAACTTTGGCGAAGTATGGATTGAAATATTCTAGATAGGGTGACTGGTTAAGAGTCTCCAAGGATGCTCTTATAGTTTAACGTCTCATTTTCGCAACCAAAAATTTTCATTTTTATTTAAGTAAAACTACCAAATTACAAATCCATTATGAAGAAAACGTTTACTTCAGATACATTTATTAAAAATTAGAGTAATATTTAAAACACTTAGTCTTCATTACTATTGATGAATGTGTACAGTCATGTCTTCGCCTTCCCGAGATAACCGATGAAACCTGAAACAATAAACAATTGGGTAAGCACGAAGCCTGGTGAGTTTCCCCCAAAATACCCCTTACAATAAGCATACAAGCGTGCATCGATTCCACTCAACCATCGGGTTGGAATACCCCAGGCTAGTCAACCTCCGAGTCCAGTCATCCTCGGGATGGAATACACCAGGTTGGAATGCCAAAATACAAAAACTCCAGTTATCCTCAGGATGGAATACCACATGGTTTGTTGGCCTGCCACCTCAACCCAACTGCTCTACTAGAGCCTTTGTGCCTTCGGCTTACAGTTGGCCCACATTGGGTATATTGACCTATAGCACAAAGCAGGACCGCCTCAACCCACCTTTATTATATGTCGACATATAAACAAACAAGGATCAAATAGGCACATAACATAGACAAACAACAACATATAACTTACTACTACCTATTAGTCCTATCACCACATATAGTCCTACTACCAACTAACCTCCATGAAGTATGTAACCATAAGTAGCTAGAGATAAGATAGCCACCTGAAAAAATGATCCTACTCTAGAGCCACAACCAAACATGGAATAGGTAAGAAAGCATAGACTAAGAGTTCCCAGCCTATCCTAAGTGACCGCAGACAGTCCTTAGGGCAATCCACTAGATGATGACCAACAAGTACAGATAACATACAGATCCAACAGTACACTATATCATAGCAACATCCTGCATACTAGGATACCCATCTAATAGATCATTACAACATAGCAACATTCTATATACCAGGATACCGATCTAATAGATCATTACAACATAGCAACATCCTAAGTATCAACAATCCAAGGAATGCATGACTGTATATATTCAAATGTAAGATAGCCACCCGGACAGGTGGTCCTACTCTAGAGCCACAACCAAACAAGGAACAAGTAATATAGCCTATACCAAGATTCCTCAGTCTATCCTAAATGACTATATATAGTCCTTAAGGCATTCTTCTACTAATAGATAACCAAAACTAGTAGGTCGGCATTGGTGCCTTCGACCGATGGTACAGTAAGGCTAAACTCACCTTAATCGAAGATCTCTAAACACTGCGATACCACCCCTTTTCAGCACTGCTTGCTCCCGCGATTCCACTAACACCATAACCAAATAGAATCTCAATCAATAGCCCCAAATCCTCAAGTTTGACCCAAAGTCATGATGAGTTTTAGGTAAAAGAAATAAACTAGAAAGCAATTCCTAAGTTCACATGCAACCTACTTTGGATCTATGTTTTAACTATTGAACATATAACTTT